TTTTCCAAATCGTTAGAGCTAGCTAGCCAGCCTACATGGCTGATCTCTGACAAATATTCTGAAGGGAGAATACTTGTGTTCTCTTTCTGCCCAAATTGTTCAGAATGAGAGAACACAGGTAAAAGTAGCTATGACAGAAATGGAGAAGCTGAAAGGAAGGACCATACAAGTAGCACAGGACATGCATGGGGTTCTTGTTCATTTCTTGTGAAACGGATCAGTGTTGCCATGGCTGTTTCTCTAAAATTTGGAGACCTGCTGTCATTATATAGGAGCCAGATCTAGATGGCTCAATGATCCAAGTAAGGCAGCTTTCTATTGTTTAAAGACGTATATAGTTGAAACATATGGATGGTACACAAATAAGGAGAGAAGAAAAAGATACTTGTGCTGAGCGTAAGAATGAAATTCAGTTGTGTGTCCATTGATTAAACAGCAAACCCTCTTTTCATTCCACCACTATGTACTCTGGAAGCTGGGAGACCTTCTGGAACATATTGGGGATTTTGAGGGGAAAAGAGGATGGGAAACGTATTGTGCAAGTAAATTCCATCTGTACAATAGTTAATGCAATCTCAGAAGATGTGGCACACACATAGAAAAAAGGATGTTCATTGAGGCTAGCTTAATACAATAAAATGGATTAAAGTATTTTATAATATTTTAAATTCTTATTTAAGCAAATTTTCTATGACCAACAATGGAAAGAAATAAAACTAATTCTAGAAACTGCAATAAAATGCATTTCTGTCGCTTATAATGTAACAGCTCACCTGAATTAGAAAAAAAACCCTCTCGGGAATTTCTATTCTATGTGCCTACCTTGCACAGCATCTGTGAGGTTGGTGGAAACACCTTCAGTGGCACATCTAGCCTTGGCTCCAGGCATTGTTGTACTTGCCCTGCTGGGGGGTAAAATGGGCCCAGAGTTAAGCACAGTGCAACAAACTGAGGCATGGCCAAAGGAGACAATTGAGGGAGCTCCAGAATTTGCACTTCTTCCTCAAAACAGCACAACCTAGACAGGGGTATTTTCTGCCAATATCTTGAGACCATCCCTGGCCCTCTCCCAGCTAAATAGTGGAAAAGGGAAGAAGAGAGTTGGGGGCTGGACTCTATAAAAGAGGCTCTGGAAGAGGTGGGAGCCAGAGACAGATGAAGGAGAGACAGCACACCTGGTGGTGGAGGAGGAAGGGACATGGGAAGATGTCAAAGAGTTAGGAGAGGCCTTACAGGCTGAGGTCAATAGAGTGCAATCAGGGCCCCCTGGGGAGTGGGATTATGCTGTGAAGGAACTTTGGACTGGGGACCTGGCTGAACTGAAGGCAAGGGAGCAAAAAATCAATATCCTCCTCCTCTACCTGATTGGGGAGAGAGATGTCAAAGACAAAGTCTTCAAACCTCTTAGGAAACCAATGGAGAGTTGACAGACCCAGCAATAGCACCAGAGGTGACAGTGCTAGAAAGTCCAGCTGTGCCATCTCTAGGAGGAATAGCAGCAACCAGAGCGTTCCTATCATTCACTGGCAGAGCGGCAGATATGTCACATGGCTTTTGTCAGCCTTAATCTTCAGAGGACTGTGACGGCCACCATTGAGGTTCAAAGTGGACTCTAATCCCCCAGTGAAATTAGAACAGTGGAAGAAATGAGACTGGCCTGGAACTAGTGGTGTCAACTAGCCCTGAAGATGGGCTGTTAGTTGGTTTGTTGAGTATTGATCCCCCAGCCCAAATTTTAATAAATCCTGTTGTTGCTCCAAAACCCCATGTTGACTCCATGGATTTGGGAATGGAAGAGGGACTAGGTGAGGGCCGGTGGGGTTCACACCATCAAACTATTTCTGAAGCTCCTTCTTGCTTACGGATATGGATACGCACATGCGCACACACACACACACACACACACACACACACACACACAAACCAGAGATGCACACACAGAAATAGAACCAGAAATAAACACACAATATATATATTTTAAAAAACTCTGTATTCTGTAATATTCACATGTGTGTGTGTGTGTGCGTGTATGTATAATTCAATTAAAATTATGAATAGCTCTAAATATTTCATGTATCATACATATATTTATATGTATAATTACATATCCACAGAAGATGCTTTGCTGCGCTACAGTCAGCTGTTAAAGCAGGAATAGGTTTCACAAGAGGACCCGCAAATATGCATAAGTTCTGGCTGTTTCATTTTGCAAATTTATTTACAAGATACCTAGACCATAATAAATGATTATATGTTCTATTTTACAAACATAATAGTAAAGGTTAGGGTTGTTTTTAAAATACAAAGACTGCAAATGATACATGAAAAAATTACATACCGTGTACAATATTTATAAATGCAGAATTAAGACCTCTTTAAATTATTGCACTTGCATATTTCTTTTTACGAAGAGTTTTCTCAACATCATTTCCTTTCAGAATAACTTGCCAGAATCTGGATATACACAGATCAAACTGACAAACAAATTAAATTACTTATGTTCTGAGTGTATAACAAGAGTATACACACATATTACAATTGAGCACAGTTTTTGGTCAGCAAGCAAAATATTTAAAATAAAATTATGGTGATGTGTGTCAGTTTGGACCATAAGAACTATGATTTGAAATTCTTCATACCCACTATGGAGTGACCTCTCTTCCTCACAGCTAATGCAACCACCTTAAAAGTTGCACAACAAGGGGGCGGCACCAAAGTGTTACAAATTTTTGTAATAAGGTCAAAGCTATATGAACAATTACGGGCTGGCCATATATTTTTTTTAAAAAAAGAAATGGTAAACATTTTCTATGTATTTTAGTACTGCCTAAGCAAGTGAATCAGACATATCAATGCTCCCTGGGAACTACAAACCTTGATACAAGTGAAGTATACACTTGTGCCATTGAGTGCCACACTGTATGCCTTGTGTCACATGATTTGTATCTTTTAGAATGTGTTCCCTTATTTACAAACTGTTGTATCTCTAACTGCCATTGCTTTTGAACTGTACACCTTACAGAACTGCAGTAGCATATTGATGCCCCTTAAAATATTTCATATACAGACAAACATGTATGTATGCATGCATCTATGCATGCACGCACATATGTTCTTATTTAGGGCACTGCACATATTACCCATCAAAATGTCTGATGTATCAGTATGCATTATATTTCAGTATAAAGGTATCGTGATCAAAATCATTAATCTTATTCACTGATCAGGCAACATGTCAAGATACAGTGGGGTCTTGACTTAAGAACGGCTTGAGTTAAGAACATTTTGACTTAAGAACCACTCTCATAGGAAAATATTGACTTGACTTACATACTTAGATTTGAGTTAAGAACTGAAAAAAACCACGTGGGAGGCAGGGAAAGTGCAAAATTTGAACTTTCAGTTAACTGTTGGCCAGTGAAAAGGGTGCCTGTCTGCTTCCTCACTCCTCCCAGCGTTTAGAGAGTGGATTGGGAGTCTTCAGACTGCCTGGTACTGCCTGGGCTGTATTTTGCCTGCCTTCCCTGAACCTTTCTTGACCTAAGAAAAAAAGAAACAAAATATCCCCCTCTAGTGGTCGAAGGCAGAATAGCAGCTTCCCATTAGTTTCTATGGACGGAAAAGAGCAGATACTGATCAAACGGTTTTCAATGCATTCCTATGGGAAATGCAGATTTGACCTGAGAACTTTTTGACTTGAGAACCGCCTTCCAATACGGATTAAGTTCTCAAGTCAAGACCCCACTGTACATCAGCAGAAAAATAAGTGATCAAACACCCACTTGTCATCTAGGACACTACTCATGATGAAATCAGGAGCAGGCCTTCTCAGATCTTCTGCTCTGTCCTGTCATTACAAATGAATAGCTGAGCCACACAGAGAGCCTGCATCACCACATGGGTACTCCACAGATCAAGTGGTCACTGCTATTACCCACAATGCACAAATCAGCCAAGGAAGTAGGTGACCTGGATCGCCACTCACAATCTGTGTTTTGAAACCCAGACCCAAATATTAAGTGGATTTATGCTACCCACCATCCCCTTTCAATAAAACAAGTGTTCAAACAAGACTTCCAACAAATATTCCCTTTGTTGTTACTGGAGATAAAGACCAACAGTACGTGTGATTGTTCCAAACATTTTAAAATTTGAAGAAACAATGTTTGTATCCCAATGTCAAAGTTTGTTGTTTTTACAAAAGTAGCTACGTTACAAAAGTATGACAAAAATATATATGTCTTCTTTCTTATGTTGCCATTTTAAGAGACACCTAAATGTAACATGTTCCCAAATGACATCTGCACACACATACTTATGCCAACAGCTGCTTTTCTTGTCATTTCACTATTGTACTTACAAAGATGTCTGAGGAGTTTCAAGAGAAATGAAATCCCTATTCAATTTGACAGTGTGGGGTGGTGATGTGGGAACATAAGTAAGATCCATCCCCTACATCCCTTAATATGGAAGGGCTGCTGATCATGGAACTGCTGTAAGCATATTCAACTGAATGTGCTTACAAAACGTCTATGCATCCCTTGTCACTTGGGTAGTCAAAAGTTTATATGACTTTGGGCTGGGCTTAAGCTCTGAGTCTAAAACAGTAAACAATTTGTACTATTTGTGACTTGCAGCTTCTCCGGTTTCAATAAACTATTACAATCATCTTGTACAACCATCTACTTGCAGTAGGTTAGATTTGGATAGTGCCTTGTAACCCCAATCAGTCCTGTTTATAATCCAGATAAAGATATGAATGTACTTGATAGAAGCAGGTAAATGTAGCTATTACTAATAATTCAAGGCCATTCAATTGCTGTCACCCACCTTACCTCTGAGGTCATTTTTATATTATAAGAGGAAATACATTTGAACTCTGGTAAGAAGGATTGGGGGAGAAAAGGAAAACAGATATCTAGATCCCTGGTTCTTAACCTTTGTTACTCAGATGTTTTTGGACTGCAGCTCCCAGAAGCCTTAACCATCAGCTCTGCTGGCTGGGGTTTCTGGGAGTTGCAGTTCAAAAACACCTGAGTAACAAAGGTTAAGAACCACTGATCTAGATCATGACTCAGCTCACTGCTTATACACACTGCCAGTGTCAATCAAACATGGAACACATTTGCAGATCATATGGAAACAGTCTGATGTGACTTAGAAATGCATGCCATCAGTACAGTTTGAATCATAGAATCATCATGGACCTGGAAGGGCCAATAAGGCCATCAAGTCCAACCTCCTGATACAGCCCATTTTTATGACAGTACAATCAAGTGATGGCTTTCCTGATGAAGTGTCACCCTCACTTTTAGAGTGACTGTGTGTAGAGCCCACATACATCAGTCAGTCTGAGCACACCACAGTCAAATATATGAAGATCCATGGGATACGTTGTGTGGATTGCCATACAGTTCTATTGCCATTATAATGTGATTTAACAATCCTTTTTTTATCACCTATCTGGAATGATTTCTTGTACTTCAAACAGCTCTGACTTTTTCTAGATGCATAAACAATTTGCATATAAATGTTATGGATCAGTTACCAAAATCCTGTTGCTTAGCATACTAGAGTAGGCTGACTGAGTCAATAGGGGTTTGGTCAATCAACTCCTATTGAAGTTCTGTTGATTCAAATGAGCCTCCTGTTAACTGTGGCTTATTACGCTAAACTACATTACAGTTAGAGGAGGCCATTGTGAATAAATGATACTTGTAAAGGAGTTGACTCACCAAATTCTCATTGATTCAAATGCCCTACTTAAGTGCAATTTACTATGCTAGTCAACAGGATTTTGGCCAATGAGAAGTGCATATATATTGGCATTTATTCAGATAAACCAAGTCAGAGCATACTTTTGCTTAATATTCACTTGGGTTTGCATGGTAACAATGCCCATATATGGCTTGGAGAATCTTATATGGGCATTTTTTTGTCTCCATTAAATTGTGAAGACAGAAAATCAATAGAATTAGGGTAAAAGAAAACAACCAGATCACTTCAAAGCACTAGAACCTGCCAGAGCAAAAACAGAAACCTACAAATTGTGTTTATGGCAAATGCACAAGTACATTTTTGCAAATGTATTTCTCACTGGACACCATGTACAAATCGGTGGCCACAATCCTAGTCATGGGACCAAGACCCAATCCAGGATTTTATTAATTGGCCATGGTGTGTTACCCAAACCTTATGTGAACACCAGCAGGATTCTGAACAATAACAATATGTGCTCAATTATCAACATTCTTTAAAGGTTAAGTTAGTAAAATAACTTTAAAAAAAGAATAGGGTAGATATGTGAGCAAATACTATGTTATGAGCAACATACTAACAGTGTAGCATGTATATTATACTGAACAAGAATGAAGAAGTCAGGTAAAACCTTAATTAGCTAAAAATGAAATTCTGACACAGTTCTTTTCCCCCACATTCATCATAGGATCCACATATATGAGCTTATTTTTAAAAAAGGTTTTTTTACACTGCACAAAATATAGACTGAATCTAATATTCCTTCAACAAACTGAAGCACAGTGCTCGTGTGCAATGTTTTGAAGCAATATCAAGCAGTTACTTTTAAAATTAGTTTGGGCAGAAAAAGCAACCTTGATATGCCAGTAATTTTTAGAGCTCCGAGATCATCTGACAGATACTGTATGAATCTGCATATATTCTCACAATGATGTTTAATGCGATTTCTTACTCTTGAATGTATGTCTAAGTAACAAAAAAAGAAGCTTTAGTAGCACTTCCAGATGCTTTCCAGACATAATCTTTTAAATGATCAGTATTTATGAGTGCAGCAGATCACCATCCTGGCCACAACCCCAGCTGCACCTGACAACAGCCGGGCCAAAGTGGCACATACAGTCTCACTTCCCTAGTGCTCATAGACTCTATACATTTGGCAAATTTGGAAAAAGCAAAAGAGAAAGGGCAAAGAAAAAGATATTAATTCAAGTCAATAGCAGAACTCACGTTGAGGTCAGTTGTACTAGGATTAAACTCAATGGCTTATTTATAAATCCTATTTTAAGTTTAAAATGCTTGCACTAGGTTTAAAACTCAGTTCTGCAAAGAGGTATACCCATGTATTCATACAATGTAATTGTTTACAGAATTGGGGCCCAAGTCATCCCAGACCTTCATTCACAGTATTTAAGTGCAATGCTTTCCAGATCAGCTCTTTTGTTCAGCAGCCAATCTACTTTAAAGAATAAGCATCGACATTTTTTAGAAAGTTCCAAATTGGTTGCATGTTCAATTGAATAACCTAAGCAAAACACATGCAGTACTATTAAACAACACAAAAGCTGGTCAGAACATCTATTTCATTTTTTTATGAGGATACCATTATGTTCTGCTGAATATGAATATGTTTGGAAAGCCCTATCTTTTGTGAGCCAACCAGGATTTAGAGGCCTGTCTCTCTAATGTTTGCTAAAATATAAATTGATACTTTTGTATAACTGGCAGATCTCTGCAAACACATTTAAAATTCAGCCCATTACTCTTACTAACATTAACTGGAAGGTCTACATGTCTCCTTACTAGAGGTATAAGCATTCTATTTCCAGTGTAGAAACGGACACATTCTCTAGCTTATGAAATTAATTATAAAAACAGACAAGATACACTTTCAAATGTCTTACATGTGTGCAATAGAGTTGTTGCCCTATGATGCTAATAAAATAATGTTTGGAGCACTGTATTTGGAAGTTAATTTCCCCCTGTTTGCAGCAAGTTAGATTCAAGTACTGTAAACTCGAATATAGTTTAAGCCCCAGATAATTTCTGCTGGAGTTCAAACAAAAAATCAAACAGAAACATTCACAACAACAATGTGGTAGTCTCCTATTTATAGCCAAGAACTCTCAAAATGAAACTGGTATCAAAGCCACTGTAGTATAGAGTAGTAAAAGTACCATTGAAAGACACAAGTTAAAAGCAACTGTTAAGTTTTGCCCTCCCTCCTCAATGATTTTTAAATTAAGGCCTCAGCAAGTTAACCCATAAGGAAAAAGAAGCAAGTTGTTCATATTTACAAGCCAAATATTTTCTCTGGCAGATGATTCTGAAGTAGCTGAATTGTCATTCAGTCTCTCTGTTCACGCTGTATCACTGAAGAAATCAGCACAAGGTCATCCGAGTTAGCATTCTGAATGTTTATGCTTAAAAGCCTAAAAGGGGAGGGGAGGGTCTTAAACTGTTGTTTAAATGTCTATCAGTCATCAATCTTCACAGGAAGTGAATCGGACTCAGTGCTATTGGATTGGTTTGGTATCCATCCATAAGCTTCTTCTCCTCGTATCACTTTTTCCCATTGCTTGAGATTTTCCCTGGAGAGACAGAAAGAGCCAATGCAGAACATGATTCCATTTTCAAAATGAAACTTACAAGAATGGGTACTTCTCTATGAAAATCAACCATGAATTTAACAGGAACTGGTCTGTCACATTTATGTTAACTCATCTCTTAATTATTTGGAACTTCATAGGAAGACATTAACAATGAAACCGCTACTACTCATCAAGTTTAATTCTAGTTTCTCCACTCTGAATCACAGTAGCTGAAATCCAGCAGCATAATTTATGCCGTGTAAAGCTGATGGCATCTTAAACCACAGTGACTTTTCGGAAAATGAAATTTTCTGATTCCCCTTTGTAAGTCCCAAAGATCCCTTGACATCCCTCTTGCCATAAGGCAGAGGTGGTCTTTCATTTGTGTAAACCTCTGCTGCAATTTTTGGAAATTAAAGACTCCTTTCCCCATCTCATGGCCCCTAATAGCTACCCATAATGAAAGGGATCCTAAGAGAGCCTCGGGACCTTTCAGGTGGCGGTGGGGAATCTAAAATGTTTAATTTCTGAAAAAGCACTGCAGCTAATAATATAATTAGCTTTACATGTGCCAGAAAGCACTGCTGGATCTCAACCTACATGCATATTACTTAGTTTTTCAATATCAGCTTGTTTTCGATATCATCATTATTTCATGAAAAGTCACAGTACTAATTTTACATGCACTCAAGTTGTAGTTGTTAGCCAGGACTTTCTGCACTGTGTTTTTAACAGCTTATAGCCCCCATCTCCTCTGCAACAAAGTGTATATACACATGCCAGCTTAGGAGAATATTGTATGAATGCAGTGAAAGACATTCCACTGTATGATAACATTATCCTAGCTCTGCCACAGTAACTCTATGCTCTAAAGTTTTGCTATATTCCATCATGTGGTCTTGTCATCTTTGTGTTCCTTTTAAGCAGAAGGATCTTTGCTGAAATGTTTACAACTAGTGTGCAGGCTTTAAAAGCCGCACAGAGTGGTAGAATATACCAGATGGGCGGGATATAAATTGAATAAATAAATAAATATGAATAAGAACAGAATTAGACAAAGAAAAGAGTATAAGATATGTCCAGATCTGAACACATTTTGCAACAGGGATTTTTCCTAAATCTCTTGTATCAATTTTAGTGAAATACCCCTTTGTTAAGCAGTTCAACTTAATTAATGCTAAGAATTTTGGGTCCCATTAAGAAATTAAAATTTTCCTGCCAGTGCAAGAATGTATTTTTGCCGAAGGAGGTGACTATACCATCATTAGTGCTAAAAAAAAGCCTCCTTTCTCTTCCTGTATGTAAACAGTATGGGATAAATTTGAGGCTTTTTATTACTTACTGGGTTTTGATTTATTGCATATGTCTAGAGAAGTATTTGTTAAAGGAAATCTGCTATTTGTAGATTCTTGTACAAAAGAAAGCTCCTTCATTTGCAATTAAGGTTACATGGAACTAAAAGTGAGGTGATGACTGTAATTAGTATTAGAACAGAGTTTATCCTCCAATCTTTAAAAAAAGTGCATGCTTATAATGTCTTTTCTCTGTCACCCAGCTTTTACAAAGAGTTTTCTAAATAGGAAGTTTCCTGAGAAGTAGACAAGATACTAAATGTCAAAGGCATACTGCGAAAGGTCTTAGAACTCACCTGCATGCTCGAAGTAGTGGTGTTGTAGGAGGCAGGATCTGTGTGAGTGTAGTGTAGCATGGCAAAGCTACAGCACTGTAGAATCCAATCTAGGAGAGAAAAACAGTGTGACATGAAAATCTGCAAAAAAGTAATTAAATAAACCAGAAATGCACAAAAATAAATGTACTTGGCAGGGATATAGTTGATATCACGAAATGCTTTCTAAATATTTGTTACTATTAATACCATTCATATGGGTAAAAAGAAACATAAACAATTCATGGACATCATAACAAATTTGCTGTTAAAATGAGAAAAGTCATAGAGTAGAAGTCAAACTTTGCAATTTTGCCACTGCTGAATCCTGAACTGAAAATTCTGCTAGCCATTCAAAATTTGTCAAATTAGCCTGAAAACTAACAATACATTTGCATACATTTTTATTTGAATAGGAATATTTAAATTTCCTTATATCAAGGGTCAAACTAGATTATATATGTAGCTCATATTTAGAAGTGGTGCTTCCTTTAGGGGCAAAAGCTGTCTAGGTGTCCTAACAGGAGTGTTTCTCATCCCTTTATCTTACAAATTAGTTTGCTTTGGTTTATGATTGGCCATTGGGAGAGAAAGACAGATTTAATTAAAACCATCCTTACTTCTAAAGTGAAACAAACTTTTAAGTAAACTAACAATTGTCTTCCTTTTTTGGTGTCAATTTTTTCTGAATCACCCAGCGTTGTGTGTTCATTTTTATTAGGTCAGAATTCCTACCATGAGCAAATTCTCAACTTAAAAATATGTAAGCACAGCCGTTTCTTCTTGTAGTCCTCTTAACTTAGGATTAATCACCATTATATAGCTCAGGGGTTCCCAGGTTTTCTAACTTGCAGTTCTCTTGATTGGTGGCAGCGACAGTAGAGCAGGAGGAACAATGCGGGATTTGCAAGAAGCAAAGATGCACAAAGGAGCTGGAACTGAAGCTGGAAGAGCAGCAGCAGCAGTGCCAGCTTAGTGAAGAAACAGAGAGAAAACTTCACCACACTGCTAGCTGAGTTTGGTGGCACCCAGCTGCACCGTGGAGCATCTCAGAAGCCACAGTGCACTACGGTGCAAACGTTGGGAACTTTTGATATAGCTGCTTAGCATCTATTCACAGTATCTAACCTATAACCAAAAAGTGATTCGCTTCCCTTTGAGATCAATGAAGTGGCATATATACATTACTACAATTAACTTTGGTCATGATTCCATGCCATTTTTACTTGAATTTTTACTTTAGAGCCTCGTGGTGCAGTGGTTAAACTGCTGTACAGTGGACCCTCGACTTACAGACGGCTCGACTTACAGACTTTTTGAGTTGCAGACTTCTCTGGCTGCAAAATTTAGATTCGACTTGGAGCTGGAGAATCGACTTACAGACCAGAAAAAACCAAAATGGAACAAAAATAGAATAAAAACTGCCAGTTATGGGATTAATTGGTTTTCAATGCATTGTAGGTCAATGGAGATTCGACCTACAGACTTTTCGACTTGCAGCCACCATTCCAATACGGATTAATTCTGTAAGTAGAGGGTCTACTGTACTGCAGACAAAACTGTGTTCGTGACCTGGGGTTCAATCCCAAGTAGCCAGCTCAAGGTTGACTCAGCCTTCTATCCTTCCAAGGTTGTTAAATGAGTACCCAGCTTGCGGGGGGGGGGAGCAATGTGTAGCATGCATAATTAACTTGTAAACCATCCAGAGAGAGCTTGAAGCACTATGGGCTGGTATACAAGCAGCACACTTTTGCTTTTTAATTTCTTCAATGGCATTGTAATTCAAGAGCTTTAATTTTAAAAGATAAATTAAATTAAGAACAGGCCAGCTGAGAGAAACAAGAAAGTCAGCAATAATTAAAGGTATGAACAACTACCTTCTATTTATATTATACCTGTTCAAAATTTGAATAATTTTTAGGCTTACCTGACCCTGAGGAACTTCATCTTTCTTGTCTCTGTCCATCATAGGAATAGGCTGAATACCCAATTTCTTCATTTCATCACCCTGCAAAAAACAATTTAATTAATTAATCAGGTGTTAAGTCTTGATAAGTGATCCACAAAAATATTTCTCATTTATATGGAAATATGTATTTAGAATTAAATATATTAAGGATTAAAACTGTGTAGGGGTTGAATTTAGAAAAGTACTGAAAAGAATGATTTGACAATAGGAAAGAAGAGCCTTGGTTGATTACAACTAAGGTCCACGTAGTCTAGAGCCCTGCATTCTATAAGGACCACTCAGATGTCTCTGGGAAGCCCTCAAACAAAGAGCAGAAGCAATGACCCTCTCTATCACTTAGAACAGTGGTTCTTAACCTTTGTTACTCGGATGCTTTTGAACTGCAACTCCCAGAAACCCCAGTCAGGACAACTGGTGGTGAAGGCTTCTAGGAGTTGCAGTCCAAAACTCCTGAGTAACCCAAGGTTAAGAACCAGTGACTTAGAACAGTGGTTCCTGAAAGTGGGTAACCCAGGTGTTCTTGGACAGCAGTTCACAGAAGTCTTCACCACCAGCTGTGCTGGCCAGGGTTTCTGGGAGTTGTAGTCCAAAAACACCTGGATTACTCAAGGTTGGGAATCACTGCCTTAGAAGGACATGTTGCTTACTTGTAACTGAAGTTAATTAAGTGGTCATCTGTAAATTCACACATATGCATATCTTTGGCACCTATACAGACAAGTCTGAAACGTTTTAGAGCCTAAGGAAAGTGTTAAAACAGCTCTACACCAGTGGTTCTTAACCTTTGTTACTCGGATGTTTTTGAACTGCAACTCCCAGAAACCCCAGCCAGCACAGTTGGTGGTGAAGGCTTCTGGGAGTTGCAGTCCAAAACTCCTGAGTAACCCAAGGTTAAGAACCAGTGCTCTACACCATACATGCTCGCCAACCTGCAGCTAACCTTCAGTTCCCTCAGTCCTCCACTAATAAAGAAAAACAGGAGATGTGTGGCAGACTGAAAGAAGGATGGCTGGGTTGTATGAATTCACAGAAGGCCACTGGAAGAACTACAATTACAGGTAAGCAATCCTTCCTTCTTTGTGGTCTTCTGTGACACATATGGGTGACTGACAAACTCACTAAACAGTGGGTGGGATGTCGTGCCAAGACCAAAGAGATCACTGCTGTGCAGAATGCAGTGTCAAGCTTCAATCTATAATTTTTAATGAACACTGAAGGCTGTGACCAAGTGGCTGCTTTATAAATGTCTGTCAGTTGAAAACGTTTCTGAAGAGCTGTGGATGCAGCAACTGCTCTAGTGGAATGCCCTTTTAAAGAACTGGGCACAGGCTTCTTTGTTAGCTGGTAACATAAGGTGATAATACTGACTATCCATTTAGATGCATCTCTGTGATGTGACACGTTCAGCCTTCTCCAAACCTTGGGAACTCACAAAAATGTGGCAGACTTTTGGAACTGATGGGATCTAGACATATAAGAAGGCAGAACTTTAAGCAGGGTTGATGGCTTTTGATCATTATTTTTGTAACCTTCTAACACAACAGGTAAGTCTGTGTTTGGTGTCCCTCAAGTAGAAATTATAGGCACTTAAGAGTGTCAGTCTGTGAGGAGAATATGGTTGGTCCAGGAAGCACACTTAAAAGGGCCTGTTGGGGTCATAAAAGGCAGGAACGCCTCAATGAAGAAACAATGAATGGGGAAAGAATGAAGGTATATTTTTGGGTGAAGTATTACAGGGAAAGAAAGGGATGAATGGAGAATGTAAATGGAAAGGATTAACTATATACAAACTTTACATGAGCAGAAAAGGTTCTAGATAAGCTCACAAGCTGTTACCTGAGCAATGGTAAAAAGGGAAGTGAGGTGGGGAACATTTGTACTGTAAACAGTGTATCTTAAAGCTTTCCTTAAGCTCTAGAAGGTTCTGAAGTTGTCTGTGCATGCGTGAAAGGAATCTACATGTGTTGGTTCACAAAGACCATGAAGAGCTTAACCATGCAAAAACTTTCTTCTTCTGAACTTGAAGGTTCCATTTAGCAATCATGGCTACTACATATTGATACGGACCTAACCTCCATGAATGTGTTCAGCCTCTCTATAAACCAAACTAGCCAACAGCCACCATTATATCTGGTGATGGTGGATTTTCTGTTACCTCCCCATCTGTTGCCAATCCAAACCTCATTAGTTTTACTAGGTAATTCTATTTCTGCAAGACACTTTTATTTAACAACTCCAGTACCATGCATATTTGCATATATATCTACTGGTTTCTGTTTATCTGCATTTTTCTGAAGTAATAAGCCTCCAATGCAGAGCCCTTAAAGGTTTTTGTCTGATGCATATTCTAATTTAAATTGCTAAAGTACAGATACTAATGGGATATTTAAACAAAAAAGAGGAAAGTTTGAAACTCAACAAAACTTAGATTCCAGCTCTGAAAAATACAGCGTGCAAAAGGTCTACAATCTCTACCCAGCTGCAAGGCCCGGGGATCACTACATACAAAAGACCAGCTAATGACACCCATCAATCCTAGTGACAGATAATCTCTCCTCCTTATCACAACAATACACTCACAACAAGACACACTAATCACCCATCTCCTGAATAGGAGAAAAGCCCATCTCACAGCCATAAATACTCCATTCCCAAGCAAACTACACCAGAGTACAGAGTGCTGTCCTCTGAAGATGCCAGCCACAGAGACTGGCGAAACATTAGGAAGAACAACCTTCAGAACACGTCCAAAGAGCCCGAAAAACCCACAACCATTAGATCACCGCCGTGAAAGCCTTCGCAAATACATTAAAGTATAGCCGTTAGCACTTAGTCTTTAAGATGCCACAATGTTTTTGTCTTCTTTTTTTATTTTTCTTTTGTTTCTCCCTGATATCTTTCCCTCTATTGCTTTCTTTATTTTTTCCATGAACCTCACACATAGATACTTCTGATTCAAATGGAGTCCTGCTTTTGTTGCTGATCACCTAATTCTGATTCATGTTTTTTTCTTGTAATTTTCTGAAAACCACAGAGATATTTTATTGCTTTTTTAAAAGGAAGAAATGTTTCATCCAGATTAGCAATGAATGAAATGGCACTTTCCACAAGTAAATTTGAATGAAAACAAGCAGGATGAGTTCAAAGCTGGCAGTATAAAATATATAAAATCATAAAATTACAGATTTCAATTTAACACCGAATACTTCAGTTTCAGGACACAAAATAAAATAGAAACAAATTCCAATTGTACTCCAGTATTAAACTTCAGTATCAAAAACTGGAAATGAGGAAGCATTTTTGATTTGCGAGCGGGATTTCAGGTATATGAATTCTGTCTTCAAGAAACTCCTTCCACATCCCAAAAGTCTAAATGTCAGGGAGAAAGTTATTAGTTTTTCATTCATGAGACAACTGTATCTGAACGTGCAGGGACATTTTCTACAGAGGCAAGCACTCCTTCATGTGAGTCACCATCTTTAATCAGAAACATCAAAGGTTCAAATTTTGTGAGAACTAGTAATATAATAGCTGTGTACATGGAAATCTATTGTTTAATATTTTCAAACTGAATAAATGAGCTCAGTTTAAAATTTTATATGCAAATGAAAAGTAAGTAACTATTTCCCCAAGCTATCCATATTAGTCTGTTATTAAACATAAATAAATGAATAATATAATTTACATACCTCAGCCCAAAACTCTGCATATATATCACTGGCTGTCAATCTGGTAACATGCCACAATTTTGTCACAGAACACAAGTCACAAGCTGTCATCATCAACCCAATCACCCGATCCCTAGAATATAACAACTCAAAATGTATCATGCTGTTTAAACATGTTTGTTATTTGATTATCAGGAGCATTAACAGAGCTGGCATCAGTTATCACAGCAATGATATTTTCCAATAATAATATTCAAGATATATAAAAATACAGTGGTGCCTCGCAGGACAAAAAACTCGCAAGACAAATGGATTTGGCAAAGAGGTTGATGACTTGCAAGACAAATGTTCCTATGGCTGTGCTTCACAAGAAGAATGTTTTCTGTTTTTTGTTTCTGCCTCATGTTTGCTGATTTTTAAAATGTTTTTCTATGATGTTTAAAAAGTTAAAGTTTTTTGACTGAAATTTTTTAAATCATCTGCACAATATGTATGGCTTTAAAGAGCACTTAATAAACCCTTTGTAAACCAAATTTGACTGTTCTGACTTCCCCCCATAGGAACGCATTAATTAGATTTCAATGCATTCATATGGGAAAACGCATTTCATAAGACAATTTTTTCGCAAGACAACATTAACTGCGGAACGAATTCAATGCTTCTTGCGAGGCACCACTGTAGTCCTATTTATTTATTTCTGTTATTTTATTTGTGTATACCTCATTTTATTGCAAGGACAACCACTACCACAGACATATCTCCACGAAGCATAAATGCTAAAACAACTAAAAACAGATTAACAAACAAAAAAAGCAGCCTTTATTAAGGTCAATACTTAGAAGCCAATATTGTAAATACCATTAAATGCATGTAAGAAACAAGCACGTAAAAGACAGTTAGGACTTAGAATGACATTCCACAGATTGACAGTTTTCAACCGTAGTCTCCTACTTTTGTAGAAAGCAAGAGCTGGACTGACTAACATATGTTTGCACAAGTGGTTACAGGTACCAACCTATGTGTTTCAGGTCTGCTTAGATGTTCTGCAGAAGAAAACACAACCTGACTGGCTTTACTAAGAAGCACAACTATTTTCCTTTGACAGTTTTGTTAAAACTCACTGGGGCCATAATGATCTGAACAGTCTTTCTGTTGCGTGCTTCCATTCTTGCTTCCGATCCTTTTTCGAACACCCAGACAAGAGCCCTGAAGATCTTATTACATGTGGGTTTCATGTGGAAGAAGGCAGAATTTAAATCCTGTCTTTCTGTCTGCCACTTAAAGTTCTATAGTACCACGATACATTTAAATGAAGTGGATCTACTTAAGTCAAAATCACCGGGGGGGGGGGACAAAGAAAATAAAAAGAAAACACCCCTACAGATGCCACCATATTCCTTTACTTGGTACTTCAAAGCATCACTGCTTAAAATGAACTGAAGGTGTGTAGGAAAAAATCTATCATTTGCTTTAGTAAATTTATTTAACATCAAACATATATTCTGAAATGGAAAAAAAAAATTAGCTTGGAGAGGGAGCAAGCTGACATCTTCCCAAATAACTCCATAAATTGGAAAGAAGATGCTGGTTTTATGATTTACTGTTCTAACTTATAATTAGGAAATGACTTTACCACAACATTTCTTTACTTCTAGACACAGTAGTAATGAAAGGTCACAGAAAGATCATATTGTAAATGATTTTCAGTGATTTCTATGCTACTCTAGTCATCTAACAATATAACCACCTGAACCTTAAGGTCTGTTGCAGAAGGTTTTTTCTCTGCTCCAACATGCAAGCTGAAGTTACTGTGTAACAAACAAGTGACTTTTCTGCCACTCTGAAGAACCTCTTTATTTTTGAAGATTTACGTGCTGGTTTTCCCTGCCAGAAGAATGAGAACTTCTCAAACTTCTCAAACTTCTCAAACTTCTCAATGTAACATAACGTAACAGAAATTAATCCAAAGAAAGCTACTTTTTAAAAAGAACAAATAAAAACCTTTCATGTTGGCAAAGCAAAACATTGATATTTCCAGCAGAATTAGAAACATGAATCTACTTTTTACCTATGTGCTTGGTTTTTAAGATTTAGTGATCTTGTTTGATATAGCTCTTCCAAGTGTTTCCGGTTTCCAAAATACAGAGCAAGGTCTGTAGCAATGATGGCTTTGCGGATGATTTCCAGTACTTGCTCATACTCATTTGAGTTCAAATTAGAAAAAATATTATGGCCTTCCAGCTATTAAAAAAAAACACAACCGTAATTTTAAAGACAAACAATATATCTTATTTCAAACTACTTAAGATCTTCCAAAACTGTCATTTTAACTTGGGGAGGACACAATTCATCCCATTTCTGCCCCTTTGCCTCTTTTGTGGTAGGTATTTGGCATAATCTGGCAGCATGGTGACAATGGCAGCCAATCCCCTCTCCCTTTTTTAGCCCTCAAACAAAGCACACAAGGAGCACTGCCCTTCTGTTCCCTCTATATCTTGTTTTGAACAAGAAGTGTTTTCAGGTGCCACCAAACCATAAATAAAGTCTTGGTGGTCTGCTGCAGTGGAAGATTGTTCTGTGGCAGGCTGTAATAAGTCTAAATTCCACATCAGTTCCAGCAAGGCTGCCCAAGTCTGTTTTAACTCATAATCAAATATAACACAGCGTTGTGCATATTTTGTAACAAAATATTTTGACAATGTTTGCAAAGACACTGAAATTTAGTTTGGATTCAATTGAAATTTCTTTACGATGTTTTGGGATTCAAGGGCCACTACATATTGGCTGAAATCTTGTTCTTCTGTGTCGTTAAGTAGCACTAGAGTCAGCCCACTGTGGGGATTTGATGAGTCAACTTCTCCATATGTTTTGTTGCCTCAGATGGGCCTACTTAGTTGTGTGACATTATGTTAAAGTAACTTGCAACTAGAGTAGGCCCATTTGAATCAATGGAACTCACAGCAGAGTTGACTCACCAAATCTCCACGGATACAATGGACCCACTGTAGTTTGGCTTACTATGCTAAATAACAAGATTTCAGCTCATATGGAGCAGTGACAAGAATGCTCACTTTGGCAACATCTTTGAAGTATTTACAATATGCCATTCTATCTAAAATTTGGCCTGAGGGGAAGTATGAATATACGGACATAATTTTCAAAAATGATTTTGGGGGTTAATTTATTTTACCTTGGCTGTATCTCACTAGGCTACTGCTGAAAAGAAAGGCCCACAAGTGTAGTCATATGGGATTGTGCAACACTTGCGCAAGCATTTTGCAAACAGTGATTTCAATGAAGAAAGCACACCCTCTCTTGCACAAATGGTGCAAACCTGTGTTACTATACCACTTCCAGACACACTGATGGAAAAAAATATGGCTTCTAAAGGCATCCTTCGTGTTACAGTGCAAATTTCAGTGAATTAGAGAACAGCCCTATGGATCCTTTAAGGGTGTCCAAGAGCTCAAAAAATAATGTCAATCTCTCCCTCTCAGGCCTGCATGTGTAGTGGGAAGTCTGCTATTGAGCTTCCATTTGCAGGCAGAAGTTCTTCCTCTCTAGTTGCCCTCCAATGGGATGTAAGTTTGGACAGTTTGGCATGGATCATTCATGTGAGCTGTTGGATCTACTTCATCCAAAGCTCCCTCACTTTTTGCATACCTCTAGAAATGGGAAGAGGGAGGGATATGCCAGTGTGCACATTATCCCCACCCAAATCAATGAGAAGGAATAAAAAGAAAGGGAAAAATGGTAATGGGAAAAAATGTTTTAAAACTGCCCCTGCACCTTCTGTCTTAGTCAGCATCAGTCCAGGATTGCTTGTGAAGCTGCAATTTGCCTGCCATCAACCTGCAGAAGGCCTCTTTGTGTGTTTTGTAGGAGGCAAATAGACAGTATGATATCAGGTCTTAAAGGATATTGCAATATTGTATTAAAATGTCTTAAGTTATATTGATTATAATTTTGTTTTTGGTTTGATATGTGAAAGCTTCAAAATATATGAAATAAGGGGAACTTTTAAAAGGGCAATATATAATGATTTGTTGTACTAAGATGCAATAATTCTGTTTCACAGAATTACAATTTAAAACAATTCTTTCAAAAGCAAAAGAAGAAAAGGCATACTGTAGAGAAGTATGGAGCTTTTATATAACCCTACCATCTGTAGCTTGTCAATACTAAACTGTTTTTGAGTCAGAATGCAATTAGTTACCTGCAATATAGATACTGTCTGTGAAAAGTGGTGCTGTTCCATTGTTGAGGTGGAATAAAGAGCTGCCAATGGATGGTCAAACTTCTGAAGATAGCTGTTGCTGTAACCTCTGTGATCCAAGTCATGACATAGACAGGCAACCAGAAGACCTTTCCTCTAGATAAGGAAACAGGCTGGTAAATATTTTAGTGTTTAGTTTAATTTTGTGCCACTAGATGCCACTCTACTTCAGAAAAATTCACTGATAGATAAAATATACTATACAAGTCTCAAATTATTAGGATCAAAAACTATAGTACACTAAATAGCAGCCTGCAACTGAAAAAAAAGCAGCTCCATTGCATAGGAGAGAGTCTTAGATTCAGTTAGATAACTGGTCTATCCTGCTGATTTTCAGAACTAGCTCTATGGAATGCCAAGGACTAACCCTTGCCCCTAACATTCAAAGTAAGATCTACCTGGCTGAGACATTCAAAACTGAAATTTTGCTTGGGTTAACAGGAGCCTTATAACTACAAGTGCCTTTTTAAGATACTTTAATCTTCAGAAAAGTCAAGTGGGGCTCAAATTCTGGTCTAAAGCAAAGCAGGTCTTAGCCAAAGCAGACTGAAGTGAAGCAGTGCTCCATTTAAAGTGGGCTGCAAAGCAAATTCTTTTATAGCACGCATCCATCCATAATGATTGTACATGCTGAGAAAAAAAATCTATACTTACTTCTAAGTCTGTGAAAACTCTGCGGTTATTCTGAAGAATGGCATACATGCAGTGTGCAACTGTAATTGCATGCTTCCAGTTGTGATAGGGCACACGGCGATAATTCTTTTTTACAGACATTGTGAAACGACATAGTTTTTCCAGGTCAAAACTTGAAAGAAAACAAGTAATGAGACAAAGAATGTGAAAAAATAAAATAAGAATGTTTTAAATCAAAAAGAATAAAATACCATTTTAAATATATTTAATCCTTCACTGGTAATCTCTGAAAAAAATGCTTAATTTTAATTCATCAGAAAATCATTGCTGGGCTCTTTAGCTTACTTAACTTGTAAGGTAAGTGCACGCTAAGTTATATTGATAAAAGTGTTGCGATTTTGATATGAAAATATATTAAATATTAAATATTAATGTTGTGTAGTTAAATGTAAAATGGCTGATTTTACCCGAGTCACTGTACTGATTGTGTTCAGGTGTGGGTATCAAAGATTAAGACTTAATGTTGTACAGCTGTGTACATGGTGAAACTTTGTGTAACAGAAAATGAAGTAATGTATTTTTTGATTGGTCACAGAACTGTACATAAGTCATGTGTAAAATGAATTTATCTGCTATAAGTCAGCTCAATTTTTCCTATGCTGTGTGTTGCTTCATGTCATGTTATGCTGCCAGAGGAATGGCTATTTTCTATGTATATATGTAAATAGACAAAGTTGTTGGTTTTACTCTCTCAGTGTCATAGTGTCATAAGTATCTCTGCTAACCAATATTTCCTTACTCTGCTGATGTTATGAGAATACACGTCATAATCAAAATTCTCAACAAAAAGTAGAATTACTTTCAGTATGCAAGTATATTTTACTAATCAAACCTGCAAATTCTTGTCTTTCCTTTCTGCCCCAGCCATTACAGTAATATCTTTTTCCTATATGACAGTCAATTAACTGAATGCTACTTTATGTTTTTCAGATAAAAATAAAAATAAAAATAAAAATAAAAAT